CATTTAACATTCACGAACAGGCACACGATTTTAAGCTATATCTCATCACGCTTTAAACATCAAATAAGGTGTTAGGGAAGCGAATAAGCTTTTCGAAATTGAATTCGTGGAGGAAATCAAACTCTCAATCATTCAATGATCATACACATACGCAATGCTTTGTACCACACAACTTCTTTATCGTACATTAAAAGTTCAAAATTAAAAGTTGCGACGGACCGAAGAAGTTTCCGTGTAATATAATTATCTATTAACGCGTCATTGTTAAAATATTCACGGTTCGAATTAGTAATTCACTGATAAATCAAGTGAACAGATTACAAATGTATAATCTGTTATGTATACAATAATTACTGATAATAATTAAGAAACAATACGAGAGTATGAGTATTATTAGGTGTGTAACATATTAATTCAATTATGTAGAGGAAGTAAGTTGTATTTACTTGTGTATATGCGAGTTATCATGATGCGGGGATGTATTTCGAACTATTTATAGCTATAATTGAATAAATAAGTAATAGAATAAAATTAGGTATAACTTTCTTGTTTCTTAATTTTTATCAGTAACTATAGTTATTCATTGTTTTAACGCCACGTATTAAAAGTTTTTACATATTACAATTTGAGATAGCAGTAATGTGAAGTTTATACAATTTACAGTAGATTTCATGGTTTTCCAGACAAAGTACAAGAATTCATTTTGTAAATAGGAGTAAAACAATAATATTATAAACAGACTAAAATGTTGACTGTAAATTCTCCTTTACAAGATAACACTATGTACGTTAAAAGCAATCATAAGATACGAGCATTTTAATTCTCCCAAATTACCAATTTTACATTTCTAACTTTAATATATCAAGAATTTTAAAACAAAAAACTCAAGAACTAGTATAAATAATTAATTATACTTCTATATTACATTGATATCAAACTTTCAGTTGATCAAATGAGTATTGGCACATCCAAATTTTGTTAAATATTTGTAATTATTGAATTATTTTATTAAGATCCTATATATCATTTTATGTTGTATAACATATACTAACTGCATACCAAAATACATCACTTAATAATAACCACAACAGAAATTATAAAGGAATAACGAAAATTTTATAGTCAAGATACTATGGCAGTCACGTCTGCAATTTAGCTCTACAGTACCTTCTTTCCAAATACTTTTTACGCCACTTTTAGGAAACAAATATAAATAAACATATTTATAAATTATGTTACAATTTATATAATCTTTGTGTAAATTATATTATATTATAAATATGTATATCATATAATAAACAATACATTGGTCTCTCTGTTGCCAACTTGATTACAGAATATTATTAAAGCGAAAGGAAATATTAATCATTTTTTTTAGTTTGTATTAATTTTAAACATTAAGTATTTAATTTTTGTTCTCAGCCTGTGTTAATATTTTCTTGACTATAAAATTTTCGTTATTTTTTTATAATTTATATTGCTATTATTATTAAGTAATATGCTACGATATATAATTAGTGTACATTGAAAGACATAAAAGTACATATACATATTAATAAAATTCTTTAATAACTAACGACATTTACAAAAAGGATGTGGCAATACTTATTTCATCCACTATACGCCCGTGTACAATCATCGACAGTTCGAATAGAGAAATTAACAATACCAGATAACAGAGTATAACAATACATTGACCTGAAATCGTTACTAAATAATAAATACTATGTGATTGTGCAAATAACGTAAACGTTATCAATTTTTTGTTACAATGGAAACTTAATTATCGCTTATTACAAAATATCTTCGTACTTTGTCGAGAATAATTTGGAACACATAAACGGATTCTTCCATAATATTAGCTATTTGCAAAAATTTTTGTCGTATTTTGACATTTGACATTAAAAATTGGTACAATATTAATAACAATATTGGTACAATATAAATAATTCCACATGTGCTACACAACATGAGGAACTCAATTTAAAGTGGATAGAGTATACAAATTCAAAGAAAAGCTGATTGATTCAACCTTGTTCAAAATTATCTGCACTTTTATGTTTTAACAAGTCACGCACACTTGTCTTTGTAAAAGAAGCTAAAAATTCTCAGTTCGTATAACAGAATTTTGTTTTTTATATTGCAGATCTTTGTGTTTAAAGTAATTTAAAATTATGTATTCGACATCGAGGCGATCAACAAATTCGACGTACATTGAACAAATTCATGTTTCAGAAATTGGAAAGACTGAAAACTCGTTGATAAGTTATTATGGATCGTTTAAACATAAAAGTGGTGATAACTATGATTAAAGTTGAAAATTTATATTAATTTTTTCTGTTACTATGTGTTCGCTGTTCACCTCTACAGTGGGTACCACATGTTACAAAATATATTGTACATATTTGGATTTCAGCACGGCCAGGAAAATTTTTGCAAATATTTAATATATAATCCAAAATGTGAAATAATATTTAATTTTCGTTCGTATAAGAAACTATTCGGGAACTTAATCATTTTACAATTTCTTAGCAGAATTTCCCACCGTTATCTGTTATTCATAAATGTGTGATTGTAAAAATAAGATAATCAATGTAAAGATAATATATTCAATCAAACTATAATAATTACTTATAAAAGTAAGATAGCAGTTTTAAACCCTTGATCCCTTTAAATATCGATAATAAGTAGTTCTGTTATTTACTATAATTTCATCATCCCAGTGTTAATCGTGGCTAAACTTTACTTTGGCTCACACAAAATTATTGGCTGTTTTGACCATTTAATCATTTTTGATGCGTAGAATACAAAAATACAAGTTTTAATATATAAAAAGTTTTGCATATATCAATTTGAACGCTTTTGGCGTATTTGTTTGCTTACTGCGACGCGATATTGGTTTTTACCTATGCTCCACTAGTTGATTATGTAGAGAATGTCATTAAAGTAAAAAACATGTTTTTTTGGTCACTAGTTGTAAACAGATTTTAATTGTTTGTTAACCAGTTAACTGTGGCGATCTTTTTGCAAAGCGCGCACCAGAGTGTGTTGTGATAATCAAGCGATGACGAGTTAGCTCTCAAATATTTATGAATCCATCTCAAATCATTTACACCTTTTATTTGTTTATTTCATTTCGTGTTGAAGTCTAATAATTTTAAACATATTACAATTTACGAATATAATTTAGTTTCCGTCAAAATTACAATTTAAGTATCAAATTGTAATAAAATTTTGCGCATGACGGATGTAGTTGTCATGACATAAAATTCTGCCACATCTCCATGACGTATATAGTCGTCAAACACACTTAACTGGTTAAATACACGATATTATAGAATCATTTTAACTCTCATAAACGTAGCTTAATCAAATTATAGACAGAAGTCAATATGGTATCACACTCACATGTTAAATTAGCTAAAAGTGCAACTTTACATACGCATAACTTTTTAACTGCTGGTTTCCTAGCATTAAAACTTGTATTCTTATATTCTAAGATGACAAATGTGTTAAATGATGGTACAAAAACTATTAAATAACTTGAAGTCAACAATTTTGTGTGCCGCAAAGTGAAATTTAACATCAATCATGTTAATTTAAGATATGGAGAAAATTTTAAAGATGTTCTTCAGCAAAACCGGCCACATAGCGTCACAATATTGCCACGGATCTACTATTTCTGTTTCAATAATAATTACATATTTTGGAGATAATACGGTAGTGAACAGCGAATGCTTTATCAAAATTAGCCCAATAACTTTGGAGATCAGGTACAATCGAACTTATACAATCTTTGTTGTTATACAGGACGTGCCAAAAATCTGATAACGCCTAATGTCTCAAATAATATTTCAAGTAAATTATATAGTTTCGATCATTGCTACATTATATTTGGAGTTACCTCAAAAAGCCCTTTGTGAGTCATATTTAAATTTTTAAATGAGATTTCTTTTTGCAGGAACTGATTTTTCGAAGTCACAATATGTGTAAATTTATGCTTTCGTAAGAAGTGGAAATGTTACATATTTTTATATTTCTTTTTTAACTGCATATCGTTTCTTTATACCGCACTTCTCTTCGAGATATTCTACGTAGATGAGTTTTAAAATACAATGTAAGAAAAATCAATATCGATATTTACATTTGTATGATTTATCTCGACTTTCAATTTAAAATATATGTAAAAAGATATACCACTCCATTTGAATATTCAAACATGACCATCACAGGGGTTTTGAAGCAGTCGCAGATAAAATATATTTTATGTATTATCCATATCTTTTAAGCGTCACCAGAGTTTTGGCATACTCTACATAATGTTACAAATAATATGTATAAGTTCAGTTAATAAAATTGAATAAACGATACATAATAGCTAACAATACATACAAGGTATCTTTTAATACTAAAAAAAGAGAATGTGCTTTTAAAATTTTCTTTGTACACATTATGTACAACTACCATTCTCAAGGAATTTAAATTTTAGAAAGTTTCAATGACTCGTGAATAGATAAAGTTTTTACAAAAAGTTTTAACACTCCATAAGTTTCTGTAAAGATCTAATTGGTCATGACGGAAATTCATCAATAACGATAATCATATACACACATACAAAAATCAATCTAACGAGTCTCATACAGAATATCAAAAACGTTCTAAGTACCATTTCCTTCACAAAACGATCATGTTACTTTCTAATAGGCCTTGTACACACGTGATTGGTCGAGACAGATGCTTCCACGATCAGCATCGTAATCTTCTCATGAATGATCAACGAGCCTTTGCCAGAAAATCACTAATTCATTAAATTGGCAACTAAATTCATCATCTTTCTTCGTATTTTGATTTTAAGCTGTCCAACGGCAAACAGATTGGAAAATTACATTTACGTGTGATAGGAGGTCGAATGATGTATATTTTGATTAATGACTGTTCAATTTTAATATACAATCTTATAAAAAAAAAATTGAGAAAGATCATAACTTAGTTGCCTATAATTTATAATTGTTAATACGCCGCATTACAATGTATATTTTATGGGTATCTTTATAAAAACAAATGTATTGGTGCACAATAATTCGAAGAATAAACGGTTATACATTTGTATACTTTTATTAGAAAAGTACTTATTTTCCGTAGAATATTCCGTTGATCAGCCATGAGAAGGTTTTCCATCGAAGCTTCTTTAATTTCTTTATATCGAAATTATTGTACGTCGTAAAGTAGAAAAACATTCAACAGTTGTCCAGAAAGAATCGGGTAGATTTCTCTTTCGTAGACACGTTTCAAAATTTCTAACTTGTTTTTTTTTCAATGAACATGTGCTATAATTTACTACATCTTGTAGTAAAATAGATTTTCTAACGAAAGTCTTGTGCTCTGGTTTGAGTGTATAGGTATGTATATCGTACGATTCAGTGAGGTGATCGAGAGATTTTTAAATAACATGAACACCCTGAATAAACGAAACGATAAAAAATATGCTGCAACGATTCATGAAATTTGAAAGATGTTTATGAAGTTTCTTTGTAAAGTTATTGACACTAGGCCAATAGTTTTAGACTTTAACGTCGCATTTTATCTTACGTTTCGCATTTACATATACACGTATGTTTGGATATATGTTAACATACGTGAGAAGCTACATAAGAAGATTGCAACAAGAACGAATATTTATTAGAATATACTATCGTCATTTAATATTACAACTCAACAGAACCACTTTGAAGTTATTATAAATTGGCACGTAAAATCGTACTCAATACTTTTAATTTTCTCGTCAATTTTGGTAGTGTTATCACTTAAACCAATTGTTAAATTGATTTATTTTTCGATACCTACCCTCTTTTTATAACGACGTTCAAGCATTTTCTGTCATGTTTTATTCTTTTTATTTTGGTATTTTCTCTCAAGTTGTTCATGTTTCAATCGTTTAGTACGAAATATACATACAGCACGTCTATTCTATATACGTAACATGTTCTTTGTACAAAGCTTTCATTGGTTTTCGAAAGGAAAGAACTTGTCTTTCATAATGGCAACGAATTGTTTACGATTGTGTGCAGGGTGCTTTGTGCTTAGCAAGAAGTGTCCCTTTCATTTCGCGTCTCAGTTTAATGCTATCGTCGTGGAAAAACAGTAACATTCATTTGTCTTCTACAAATTCTCTAGCACTTCAATTTACATCTACTGTGTTACTCGATGACCAAAATGCAACAAGATATGAAAAAGAATATCTGGATAAAATTCAGGTAAAATCTTAGTTTTCGGGCCAACCGTGTAATAAGCTATCCCAAAGGTTACATGTGAGGCGATTAATTTTTCACGTCTTCTAATGAACCGACAGAAACCGTAATGAAGAGGTTCTCTGAATTGTTTATACGACTGGACATACCGTGAGACCTCAAAGGTCAAATTTCCATCTTCTCTTCTAATGAGCCAACAGACACCACAGATATTTAACTCGTTTAAAGCTTCGAAAATGTAGATCAAATAGAGCAGAATATTCCATTTTAATCTGTTAATCAATTACTTTTATATTCTTTCTGTTAATTATAACCCAATGGAAACGGGTATAAAAAAGGATTTAAAAAGATCGCCCGTACAAGAGATACTGTCGCTTCTCACCCTTCAAATTTTCTCAACCCCGGATAATTTACATCCGAAAGGAAGTTCACGTTCTTGGGGTAGCTCGATTTCCATCTAAAAGCAAATATCAGTGGCCGATAAAGTGATATCGAGGTTAGATAAAGCTCAGCTAGCATACGAGATAGAAAAGTGCACTTTCCTCAGCGATATTTCAAACTGAGTACACGTTACGTGTTACACGTAATATACATATATATATATATAGTATGTACTGTATATGTATGAATATATGTATATATAGAAAGTTACAAAAGATAAAAGAATCGAGTATAATATACATGTACAGACTGTCCCGGGAGATGAATATCTCCTCTCAAGGTTTACTTTGGTTTACTTTCCAAAAGCTTTATCTACTTGGTGATCTCTCGTTTTCTACTTTGGTCTGTGACGCTTCGGAAGATTCTCTCTTCCAGCGGATGTACTTTCATCGTCGACTAATTGGATCCGATTAATTGGCCGGTTCTCTGATGTCGATCATTAGGCTTCATCAGAATGGGAGCATTGAGAGCTGCGCTTCTTCTTGTGATTGCCGTGATGGTGGTGATGGTGGTGTTGATGGTGTTGATGACGATGGTCGGTGTGCATCAGAGCATCGGTTTCTGGTTGATTTTGATGGCCTACCAGCAGGTCTAATGTGCCTCTTGAAAGTCCAGTTTGATCATTTGCCGGTGGTGGAAGCGGAGTTGCCACCGGTGACTCGCTTGGTAAGGGTACACAGTGCAACACGTAACATCTTACGGCCGCCAGAATAATACCTGAAAATTAGTAAATATCCATTACATTCTGTTGTTTTAATAATGTTTTCAATGAAGATTCTGTTATCTTTATTATAGAAAAGAATTTTACAGTGACAGCTGATTCAAAATCAATATGAAAGAAAATGTTATAGTGCTTTCAATTGTGTGGAGTTCTTTACACCCTATTTCAATTTTACGTCTTCTAAAAAGAAATAGAACAAAAAGTCCTTAGATTCTATGTATATATTCATTAACAAAATTAGTATTTCATATCTGTGTTACTGGTTCTACTTATAGATATACACGATTTATTCATATTTATCATAGCATCAGAAACAGAGACTTTGTGTGAGTGTGTACATATGTCGTTTACCGCACATGGGAGACATTTTATTATATTATTCAATGCTTGGATCACTCGTTTTCACTAAAGCTTATTGCAAGTATTTTATGTGCCGATTCCAGATCTGCACATCACTTTTTGTTCTTAACTCCAGTTTTCGAAAAATTTGATTTCAGAGAAAAATTGAGAATTTCAACTTTGAAGATATTTTGTGCTCAAACGATAATAGTTATTTAACTACTTTTAACATGAAATTATTATATGAACTCTTCCAAATAATAATACATATAATAAGCACAATTAATATAAATTACTATGGTATTAAATGCATTTAAATATGTGTAAACCAGAGCTTCAGAGCTTAATTTTGAACTGTTTATTTTTTGTCTTATGTTAAATTTATGCATCAACCCACTAATTAAGTTGCAAAAATTCAGTTTAAACTGTTATTTTGTATTCGAATGATAAAACTTTGAAGGATCACATTTTTTGAAATACTTTACCGCAAAATATAAAAGTGACGATCATTTTTTCAATTAATATAATTTGGCGGGGCTCGAGCAAGAAACATAAAGGAAGTAAGTTGTTATTTTTATATGAACATTTTATTTCATTCTGCTAATTGAAAACTAAAAGCAATTTATTACATTTACGCTCAAAGTTCAGAGTTCATACACTACGTCAAAACTTATACATATATAGGGCATGTCCGAATTCACGGAACTTCTATTAAATTCAAGGTACAATTTCCAGCATTTAGATAATGAATATTTTTATCTGAAACAAAATTAGTTTTTGTTGACGAAATTAAAATAGTGTAAGTCATTCCTATAACTTTCACTGCTATATTGTGCTATTTTATCTGTTATTGTACAAAAATTGTTAGTTCTAATGTTGAGTGTATACAGTGGCAAACGTGATTTGTTACTAATCCGACTGTGTGATATTACAAATTTCGATCAGTGAAGATCTGAAAATAAAAGTGATCGAAAAATTGATTCTAATCTAAAATTTAACGTGAAATTTTTCATTACCGTAATATTAGTATTTGTCAAGGGGGTGGAAGATATCAACAAAACGAATCAAAATTCATTTGTTATGAGATATCTACTTGCCATAACTTCATCTTTTCTAAAGCGAGATAAATATTTCCGTGACCTAGAATTGTCTTTCATTTGCAAAAAAGATTTTGTTCTATACACGTAAAAATGAATCTAATAAAAATTTCCTTGAATACACTTTACTTTATAACTTCATTTCCAATGAACAGAAAAAGCGTAGTTAAAAAATTATGGATACTTCATAACTAATTGAAAATTATAACAACTTCATTTGAATATCTACCTTTTCGTTTTTCAAGATAAAATACAGAAGTTGAAAAATACAAGTTTGTGAATGGGATTCTGTTCGAGTATACTTTAGACTTTAGATATATTTGTATGGTATTTAATTTCGAAAACGTGTTAACCAGAGGGTGTTGTTACGCTCCGAACAGGAATATTTTTCAAAAATTTCCTTTGTAGTTCTCACCGACCGGATGTGTATCGATAATGCGTATTGCATTCTGGGAACACCCTGATCGAACGCAGTAACGGTCTTTTATGTTATTAGATAGACTATCTTTTGGCGACTAAACTAAGATTGTTAATATAACACATTCCTTCCTTGAAATCAACGTGGTCCCACGGTTAAGATCTTAGATCATTTTATTTCTCCGAACCGCCGAATATAAACGGAAGTCGCACTCGTGTGGTCCGATAACGCCAAGCGTACTAGAATGTTCCTCAAGGGCCCGCGACGCAATATAAAATTATAATAGAAATTGTCTTTGTAACAGTACAAAATTATATAAATTACCCATAGTATTTCTTTATACCGTTATTATGAATACGCACACGTCAATCAGTTCCACAATAGTTACAGTACCGAGCGCGATTTAACTTTAATAATTGTAAAACGAAATAGATAATGTTTTATTCTAAATTTTTATAATGTTTACAGATTAACATTTTATATTGTATTGGTTATGCATCTAAAATTATTCAATAGCTAATTAACAATCCATAGCTCAAGGGTAAAGGAAAGAACTATATGTAAAGGAAGAGAGAAAGATAAGAGCTGGACAAGGGAGGAACACATGCACCCACCATCGCCACCTAATTAGCGAATCACGGTCTCTTACGCATTGGCCTCGCAGCCTAATTCGTTAGGCGCATATCAATGCAACACGCATATCAATACAACATAAACAATTTCGGACTAGGCCCACTCTGGTCTTCTTCGAGAGGGTACACGCACTTTTAAATCGCGTTTCGACATTAACGATGTTACATTATAGGCGACAATTGAGTGCAAAACTTTTAATTTTTATTTAGAACTTCAGCAAGTTCTTTTGAATATAGTCCGAATGTGAGCAGAAACTTTTTCTTCGTACAACAGAATTTTGTGAAGTGGTGAAATCAACTAAAACTAGGTAGAGATTTACATTTAGTTTTTCTATTTCCTAGCCAAACTCATCAAAGGAAAAGTGGATACTTTCCTAGTACTTGTTAATATTTATAAAATATTTCTTCTCTCTTAGATATCTTTACTTTAATATCCTTTTTCATCTTTTTTAATATTTGTGAAAAACGTACGCACAGATTATCGTTATTGGATATCCATGATTTTTCTTATGTTTGGTACATGATTAATTCCACTACTCCTTAAATTTTTTCAAATCTGCATTAATTGGTTAAGCCTCTTTTTAGGCCCACTATTAAGTTTTAGAATATAATCCCATAGCGAGGGGTCAGACCTTCGGTTAGTTTCTTTACCTGTAGCAGCAATAACACCCAAAGAGTCGTTGCATTCTATCGAGTATTTTAGTTTATTGCTTTACATCTGATTACCAGAAACCTTAATTTTCGTAATAGAGTCCGTTATTTCCAGTTTCTATTCATGTCGAGATACTGTTGGTTTTATTACTTGCTATGGTCATTTTTTGGGAAAACCCAGGTTCATCATACGTTACTCAAGCTTCCATTTCCATTTCCATTTTGTATAGTCAATAGAAATTAAGAATTGTTTCCCTCACCCCTATTCAGTAAAAACTGTACAGGTATACTGCACTTTCATGATCGTAAGAAATATACATTCGACTTTTAACATTAGCAACAGCAACAACTCGTATTAGTTTTGTAGTCTCCAAGTTTGGAATGGTCCTTCGAGTAAGGAAATAATCATAGATAGTATAATAGGAACAAATTCAGTCGGCACACCACGTGCAATATACAAGGCTCGAACGAATTTATTTTCAACCACGAGCGTTAACACCCTCCTAGCGATGTACAGATCAGGTGTCTCACGCGAATTCGATCGTATTTATAATTTTAGAGCATCTACTGTAATATACAGGTAGGACAAGAATGAGAGTTTAAAGTCGTTCCAAACGATTAAATGTGTCTGGAACTGTCTATCGAAAACAATACCAAACACGATTATAGTTGATTTCACGACGACCGACATCAATGAGGATCAAATATTATCAATGATGAGTTATAGAACTTCTAACGTGATTCCAGTCGATTCTACGTGTCAAAAGTTATCGAAAACGATACCAAAACACGGTTTTTTATCGATTCGACGTCGGTGATGACAGGCTCCCGACGTCAGATTATCGTCAAAATCTACACAGCAAATTTAGGATGTTTCATAAGTGACATATTTCAGATTGCTCATTTCCTTCAATTTAACTTCACAAGTGTAGCGAATGGTGATGATTTATCCGAGTGTTTAATCAAAGAACAATAACTAAAAAATAAACATTTCATCGCGAACATATTTGACCTTACATTCCATGTAATAAATCTTCAATCTGTTATAAGTGGAAGAAATCTTCGGATATTCTTAGCAATGATTGATCAATGACAGACTGAAATTCTTTGTTCCTAAAACTACCGCATAAACGAAAATGACTAATTCTTCTCATAGGAACAAGTAACACATGTCGAATTATACTGAAAAGCAACATTTCCTAAGTATTAACCGACTTTTATAAAAATTACGCAGTATGTAGTTTTTGAACAAATATTTGACTCCTATTCTTTTTATCGGCAATCAACCATGTTTAGGGAATGAAAACAGCACTTGAAATTGTGGATAGATAACGTATTTTTTCTAATACATCAAAAGCTTTTTATATTACAGAAATATATGTTATGGTATACAAAATTGTGTTAGTGGCGAATTTGACTGTGTAAATGCTTTCGAAATACACTGCTCAAAAGAAATATGGCATAGAAAAATTTTAGGCAAAAATTGGCCAAATTTGACTGATGATAACTCCGTGAAAAATCATCGCAAAGTTATGATCTTTTTTTTCAAATTAAAGCTTGAGATCTCTACTTTAAGACCCTGTAGTTTGATTTTAGATTTGATGCATTACTACCACAATAACACCGTAAATATGAGGTCATGTTTGCTATATTGAAAATTACAAAGTTTGACGAAATGCATGGACTTGCCACATTTTTTTTTTTGTGATACTGTTTAAAGCAGCATAAAGTACAAACCTTCATCTTTAATTTCCAGTATGTGAAAAACCGCTACCATTTTTTCCCGCAAAGATACAGAACTTTAAAGAAACCCTTGCATTTATGGCATATACCGCCTGCATTGGCATTACCCGATATGCACCTCGGAGAGGTTGCTAGACAGATTTTGCACATCATATGGCTCTGACAAGAGCATAGAGCATAACTATGCGATGATTTTTCACGGAGTTATCATCAGTCAAATTTGGCCAATTTTTGCCTAAAATTTTTCTATGCCATATTTCTTTTGAGCAGTGTATATATATTTATTTAGAAATTATAATTAAAGTTAAAGGCTTTTTCTTCATTTTAATGGGTAAAATATGATGCTGTTCCGATTTAATCCCTTCTATTTAAATTTTATAGTAACACAAAGCATATAAATAAATTTCCAATTCAATCTCTTTTATTAAACATGTTATTGCCATCCTGGGACTATTCTAATTTGAATACGGTACAAACTGTACCTTAG